CTCTAAAACCTAACAGTGCATAGTTAGAACTGAAAGAGCAGACTTTTATAACATTTTTACCACTTTTAAATGAATTTCTGTTTGTGATAAACCTTCCAAAACAAAGAATTTTATCACTGCATACAGTTTTTTCCATTGTAACAAAATACATTACCAACTTCAAAAAGCTTGTAAACCAAGAATGAATTAACAAATCAAATTAGGATTTTTTGTGTGTTTAAAAGGAAGATAAATTATTTAAATAAGGCATAAATTTAGATTAATAGGAGTCACTTATAAAAATTTTAAATCAACTTGTATGTACTTACATGCAGCATACTTTCATGTTTCATATAATGTGGAGCTTTCTCTGAACCATTGATTTTTTTTGAATTTAGTAACTCTTAATTTAAAAATGATCTCCTGAATTGTCACAACAAGGTTTCAGATTAATTATGTCAATAAGGCTTTAGATCTCCAGAAGCCTTGTTGTGACATAACCAATCCCCTCTTGGGAGTGTAATAATGTTAAAAATAGCAAAAATAAAGTTTTATTTAAATATAAATATTTAATTAAAAATTGATTGCAAAATAAAATAACATATAACCTTTGTCTTACTGCATCTAACTTTTCGGGATCTTGAATAAGAACTTGCACTCCCATATGCATTTTAGATTTTTGTAAACTCATATCTAAGAGAGCAATGCGGGCTCCTACAATTTTCTTTGGCATACCTAAAACAAATACAAAATAAATTAGTCTACTACCACATAGTAACAACAATAAAAAAAATCAAATGAACAAAAATGACTACAAAATGAATTTATTATAAGAGGAAAAAAAAAAAAAAAAAAAAATAGAACCTTCACAGGCCACAGTGCAATTAAGAGCATAACCAGGAACAGAAATTGTTTCCTTCATATTTCCGCCATGAGCTTTTAAAATATTTATTGATTTTATAGGTACAATAGTCTGTCCTTTACTATCTGTCCTTTTTACAGCCAATGCAGCATCCAAAAGCATATTTGCAAAGAACTCTGAATCAACACCTACTAATTTTGAAGACATTGAAGTTTTTGCACAATTTAATATGGCTTCTCGATCAAGATCAGTTGTTTTTATTGCAAGATTTTCCTGAATATACTTACATGCTTCTCTAAAATAACACAGAAATATTTTATAAACAAAATCCACAATCTTGTGGAGTTAGTTTAAAAATTTTTATAATTATATGAAATAGTTTAAGAAATTTAAATAACAATGACATGCACCCCCCCCCTTCTTAGAAAAATGTGTGTGTGTGTGTGTGTGTGTGTGTGTCTGCTCTCACACTCTAAATGTGTTCTATATAATAAAATACTATAATTAAAAAACTGTCGGAAAAAAAAAAAAAAATTTAGCAGGCTTGGTCGGGAAGCGGGTGCGATCGCACTTGATAATTGACCACGGAAATATTATTTAGTTGCAAAAAGCTGGCCAGATTTATTAGTCGTTTTGAGAACATTTCAAAAAAGAAAAATAGCTTTTAACGCTAAAAAACTTTAAGCAAAATAAATTTATTAAAGCAATTATTTTTGAAACATCGCTCTTTTATAACTTTTTTTTATAAAATTAAGCGACATTTTTTATCTAAAGTAACAACTATAAAGAAACAAATGTTCTTCAATTTATCAAAGAGTATATATAATTTTTATTTATATACTTATGTCTTATTTCCAGTGCTGGATTGAGGAGGTGAGGTGGGGGTAGTAGGGCTATAGCCCCGGGACTCACAGTGTTAGGGGAAATAGTCAGGAGGACCGATCGGTATTTTTAAAGTCATTTTTAAAATGGCTGCTAAAATAATGCAGCACCCGGCCCTGAAAAGTCCAACAAGATTCAACCAGATGATTTATTTATAAATAAAAACATTTTTCAATAACTGTTTTATGCTTCGCGTAGTTTAAAAAGTTCAACACATTTGAAATAATTCTTCTTAGTAAGATAAACAAATGAAATAATTATATCATTGAGTTACTGTAGAAATTCAATTAGCTAGATAAAAATTAACAAAACGTTAAATTGATTTGAAGCAAAAATAATTGAAGTCAGTAAACCAATTTCTAAGAACTTAAAAACTTTTCTTTTTTGGGAGAAAGAATCAGTTATCGGGTACACTGAGGAAAATGGATTAGTAGTTAAAATTTTCTGTATTAATTTTGACGATTATTAATAATTTCATTAAAATGCAGTTATTATTGAAAATATTTTCGTTTACATTTGAATTAATTACACATACATAAAATAACATAAATAAAAATACATTACATACATAAAAATACATTATACATACATGAAAAATACATCCCTTATATATAAAAAATAAGAATATACTCATAAAATCTTTAATATATTTACAAAACGTTGAAAAGTTAAAAAATATAAATTTAAAACATTTATTATTGTAACCAAACAATGTTAGTTTAAAACATTAATAGCTTTGTAGATGTGGCTCCAAGAATTAAAATAGTAGTTTGTTTGATAGGATATTCTTAAAATAATTTATGCTAGAAATCTCAACAACAACGCAACAAAATTTAAAAAATACAATTTTTAAAAATATTTCAACAGAATACTGAGGACATTTGGTTAGTATTTTTTTAAATACTCTAGAAATTTCAGTTAGTATTTTTTGAACCAATAGAATTAGTTGTTCGTAGATTTGGCGAGTTTTTTGTGTTTGCAAATATTCTTTTTTTATTTTTCCGCAGTAAGATGTTTGAGAACATTCAAGTTTATGTATGTTTCCATGTAAGTCCCTAAAATAAAAGATTTTAAAGTTTACGATAAAATAAACTTATTTTTTTGCGGACAACCAAGGAAACATAGATAAACTTAAATGTTCTCAAAATGACTAAAATATCACGCCGGTTTTTTGCAACTATTATTATTTCCGTGGTCAGTTATTGAGTGCGATCGCACCCGCTTCCCGACCAAGCCTGATTTAGGGGTAGCTCAAGACCCTTGAACATCAGACATTTATATTTATCAAAAAAACAGTTCTTCAAAAGTATATCATGTTGATCTCAAAAGAAGCAAAATTATATAAAAAATTTAAAAATTAAAAAATCTTTTTATAATAAAATTATTGTTTTAGATTTCACTGCTTAGAAAATGACATTTTTAAACTAAAAATTAAAAATATGCATTTCGACAAAAAAAACTTTTAAAAAATTTTTTTCTCAATGTTTTATATCGATTAAGATGAGCAAAAAAAGTGAGCAAATGCTTATATATATAACCTTTAGTGTGTGTGTGTGTGTGTGTGTATGTGTGTGTGTGTGTGTATATATATATATATTATATATATATATATATATATTGGACTGCTGCAAAAACATGCTAAGAAAAAGTTAAAAGATACCGAATCGGAGGCATTACTTGATGAAGATCCATGCCAGGCACAGGAAGAGCTTGCAGAAAAATTGAGAGTCAATTAATATCTAGATATTTGAAACAACTGGGAATGATTTGAAACAACTGGGAATGAAAAGCAAGGAAATTGGGTATTGAAATACATGACTCTGAGGCACATCAATTTTTTTTTTTACCTGCAAGCTACTACTCATGCAAAAAAAGGTTTTCGTCATCAATTTTTTTTCGTCATCAAATTTTTACTGAAGATAAAAAGTGGATACATTACAATAACTCTAAATGTAGACAAGGGTGGGTCTAGCTTGGCGAGCCATCAACATCAACAGTGAAACAGAATAAGTATCAAGCTCATGCTCTGTATAAGCTGGAACCAGCTCCAAGTTATATTATAAAATAAATACATATATATATATATATATATATATATATATATATACACACACACACACACACACACACATATATATAGATATACATACACATATATTATATATATACATATACATACATAAATATATGTACATATATAAAATAGGGTAGCCAAAAAATAAAGTATTGTGATATCGAATGGGATAACCTACTATGCAAAATATCCTTACAATATTTCAACAATAATGGGTGCTACATGACAACTTAAACTTAGAACTTTCTTGCTAGCGCAGCTAAAATGCATTTTTTTTTAAGCCATGCTAAAAATGCAATTCTGTAAAAGTAAAATAAGATATGATGAAATTTTCACTTAAATGATTATAAAATAGATATAACATAAGGCAACAAACAAAAGTTGTTTGGTTTTTATATACTGTCAATTTCTATGAGTTATATTCAGTAAATAGAAATGTAAAAGCAGCATTAAAAGGGGTATTTTAAGGCTTATGGAGTGGTGGCATATTTTAAGGATAAGTTCGATTACTTTGAATTAAAGAGTTAATTTTAAAGTATAGTATAGCCGTATCAAATGCAAGAATTTTTTATAAAATAATGATTTTAAAAATATTATTTAAGAACCTTTTTTTTGCCAATAATAGGAACCACTCAATTCTCAAGGTTGTAAGGCACAGCAAAAAAATTTTAAGCCGTGTCTCAAGACCACCGAATATTAGAAGCAGACTGATGACATCATACTAAAATAGGTAGTTGCAAAAATTTATTGACTATCTATTTAGAACATGCAAAGAAGTACTTCTGCATAGGGCTTGGGTTAGGGTATTTTTTCATTTACTTAACTTTTTTTCATTATCTCCTCAAAAAAAGAATTTTAGAAACTAAAGTGCACAAAATATATTAAGAAATTGCATATCTGTTTTGTGTGTGTGTCTACATATAAAAACTTTAACGCATTAGATAAAGGTGGAGAGGTTAAGGCTCTTGACATTTCTAAAGCGTTTGATAAAGTTTGGCATGCTGGTGTTTTCCATAAGCTTTCTTTTTACGGTGTATCTGGAAACATCTTTAGAATTATTGAATCCTTTCTTTCCAATCGTAGTATAAAAGTTGACCTTGATGGACAGCACTCTTCTTCTTATTCTGTAAACTCAGGGGTTCCTTAAGGTTTAATCCTTGGCCCTATGCTCTTTTTTTAATTTACATTAACGATCTTCCAGATATTCTCACATCTAAGGTGGCATTGTTCGCTGATGATACTACCATTTATTCTTGTCACGATAAAAAGCCAACTCCCTCTGATTGCTTGCAAGGGGCATCTGAGCTTGAAAAGGATCTCACTTCTGTTACAGCATGGGGCTCACAGTGGCTGGTGAACTTTAATTCAGATAAAATTCATTCTCGTGTTACTCATCATTCAATTAAACCTCATCCTTTTTCTGTTACTGTTCCTAAGTGCTCCAAAAACTCCTATTCGTCTAGTTTTTTTCATCAGTTCTTTGGAAACAACATCAGTTCTTTGGAATTCGCTTCCTTCATCTTGCTTTCCTGATTCATATAATTTACAATCTTTTAAGTCATCTGTCAACCGCTATCTTGCTCTACAATCTTTATCTTTTCTCTTCCAGTAACTTCCAACACTAATTAGTGGTTGATTGCAGCCTTGTTGGAGGCGAAGATGTTAATATATATATATATATATATATATATATATATATATATATATATATATATATATATATATATATATATATATATATATATATATATATATTTATATATATATATATGTAATTTTATTACTTTTAAAAATAAGACAAATTTTTAAATTTTATTTAAAAACATTTTATTATTCAATACATGTTTTGACTATATATAGTCATCATCAGTTAAAATATATTTGTTAAAAACGGTATAAAATATAATATATAATTGTAAAAATAAACATAATAAAAGCCATAAAATTATAAACCAACTTTCTATATATACAAAAAGATTTATTAAAATTATTATAACAAATGTCAAATATAACAAAAGAAACCGGTAAATCATATTAAATTATAAGAGTCATTTTAACATGGTTTACTTGTTTATTCATATCAGGTTTTTTTGCATCCTATATGAATGCTTTCTTTAATTTTTAATTCAATTTTTTTTCAACATGATCTAAAATCGAAAACCATTTATCATTATAATTTTTAAAAAATTTTTCTTTTGGATGAAGATGTTTATAAATAAGAGAGTTTTTATCCCTTGAGTAGTGTTCAATCACTCGCGTCTTTAAGTGGCGAGAGGTTTAACCAATATAACAGGATTTACATCATGCACAAAGAAATTTGTAGACGACGAATGATCTACAAAAAGGGGATCTTTAGATAAAAAAAAGTGCTTGACATTTTTTTCAAAGTTATGTCCAAAAATGTAAGTCGAACAGTTCAACAATTACAACAGTTTTTCATAAAAAAACCTTTACTGGATTATACACCAACTTTTACAGCGTTACTTCGTTTTCATATAAGTCTTATAAAATGTTGAATTGATAAAACTTTCAAAATTAACAACACTTCCCTTGGTCTCCGCTATGACATTAAAAATCTTTTCAAAATTCTTAAACGTAATATGTACCCATCTTGGCTAATAGAAAAAATCTACAACTCTTACTTAAATAATTATAATTATGTCGTTCTATCACCATCTGAAGACCTTACAAACTCTCGCTATTTCAAACTTCCTTATATTGGTCAAATATCTGAGCTAACGAAACAAAGATTACACGCAATTATAAAGAGACATTGTAAGTCAGTTACCGTAAAATTAGAATTCACTTTGTTAAAAGTGTCTAACTTTTTTTCATCTAAAGATCACCTTCCTGTAGATTTTAAATCATTCGTTGTTTACAAATTTGTTTGTGCAGGATGTAAATCCTGTTATATTAGCAAAACCTCTCGCCACTTAAAGACGCGAGTGATTGAACACTACTGAAGGGATAAAAACTCTCTTATTTATAAACATCTTCACTCAAAAGAAAAATATTTTTAAAATTATAATGATGAATGCTTTTCGATTTTGGATCATGCTAAAAACCAAAATGAATTAAAAATTAAAGAAAGTCGAAATTATATAGTCGAAACATGTATTGAATAATAAAATGTTTTTAAATAAAATTAAAAAATTTGTCATATTTAAAAGTAAAATATATATATATATATATATATATATATATATATATATATATATATATATATATATATATATATTGCTCATTTAGCTGAAACATCACTAATTTATCACTAATAATCTGAAACACATTAGGCAAATTAAAAAAACTTATTAAATAATTGCTATTTATATTTAGTGCAAACAATGATAACAATGCATTCTATAGTTGAACATGGGTCCTAATATTTATAAAGTTCAAATATTTACCATAATGCAATACTTAAATTGAGTACTAAAATCAAGTACTAGACTTGACTCATGTAAACAATTTTTTTTTTTTAATCAGAAAAAAGCAATAATTTTTTTTAAACAGCAAAAGTTAGATTGACATGACGATAAAACTTTTGTTAAGATAAACTTTAAAATTTATTTTTAAAAATGCAGACATGTACAAAATGCAACACATGTACCACAATGGTATTTTAAAAATTACCAATTTAATTCAGTTCCGACTTGACCAAATTAGCATTTAAAACTATCTGATTACCATTAAATGAATAAATCAGTAAATTTGCAAATCCTAACAACTGATATAGGGTTTATGATATAGTATTTATGAATGAAAGATATTTTAGCAACAACAACAACATTATTTTCTTTTATTGTCTGAACAAGTGCTTATGTTTAAGTTACTTTAAAGGATTATAAAGTCAGCATCTTTAAGTTGGCAAAATGTATTAAAACAAGGCACATTTCTAAGAAGTTAAGTGTGTGTACAATTATATATCAAATTTTTACTAACCAAAAAGACTAAAGGTTTTCATGTTTTATAAAGTTGTTTAAGCTCTAAGTTTTATAAAGTTGTTTAAGTTTTAAATATCATTTGAATATCTAATTTATTTTTTTAGATGCTTTTCTACTTTAATTAAAATATTGTTTTGTTAATAAACAGACTCTTATAAGTAAAAAATTGTCTGGTCGCCCTGCAGGGCTACTGACAAAACATTTTTTTTAAACTTCAGTCACTCTTGGAGAAAATGAGTTGTCCCGTGCCACAGGACGACCATGAGGGTACACCACTGAATTACCCATGGATGGGAAAAGGTATCAAAAGTAGTAATACCGATGGAGTTTCCTATCCATCGGTATCACCACTGATACCAATGGATGGGAAAAGGACAATATTAATGAATTAACTAATTATGAAAACTTTGAAAATATAAAACCATATAGCTTCAAATCTTTTTCATGGAATACTGGTAAACAATACTTGGACCCAAATAAGAGCCAAATCATTATTTTGAAAGATATAAGAAAACTTTCAAAAATATAAATTCAATTTTAGAGGAACGCTTTTTATTTAGATTTTAAAAAGAAAATTACTACCATAAGCAGTTTCTTAGACTTTTTTAAACAACTTATTATTAATTTAAATATTTAAACAACAATCATGTTGTCTAGATATATAAATAATTTTTAGATAATTAAGTTGTTTTTAGACAAAATTTTATTTTGTGGTGTTCAACCCCCACCACATCCCTGGTAGTACTGGGCTCAACTTGTTTCTCAGTACAGCAGCCTTGTTCGTCAAGGTTTGTGTTTTGGAGTTATAAAGTTAAGAGAGGGTTGCAACCATAATTAAAGTAGTTTTCTAAACTGGAGTGGCCTTCATGGCTTTGGGGAGGTGAATTGAGATAAACAACAACAACAACAACAAAAAAACATATAGAAACATAGTATGCTATACATGAACACATACAGTTAACAATGTTCAAATTGGTTTCTTTTAAGTATAACAATAGAACAACACAAAATAAAATTATTCTAAAAACAACATATGTGAATATATATATATATATATATATATATATATATATATATATATGGGAATATATATACAGGGTGCTACCCAGCCTGATGGCACCGCGTATTCCCAATTGGTTTAAATCCCAAACTCAAAGGGGTATAAGATCACAGTAAAAAAAAAAAAATTAAGTCAGTCTCAGATTTAAAGTGTAAAAATTAGTATGCATGATGAAAAAATGAATTAAATTGATTGATTTTTTTTTGTTTAAAAATGGGTCGTCATTAACAAGCGTCATTTACCTTAACAAGATCATTCATTCATTAACAAGCGTCATTATTCTTAACAAGATCATTCATTCAAAAGTTTAAAAAAATATTTTTTAAAAATTTTTATTGACGGCACTTTTTCTCGAGTTCAGATTTTTCAATATGTTTAATAAATTATTTTATTAATTTATTTTTATTATACAAAATTTCTTTATTTAGGTTTTTGCTGCTTATCTTAAGTTTGGAAAATTACAAAGAAATTCGCATATTAATAAATATTATACTTTAAAATAAGTTAATGACGTTTTTATAATAAAAGATTTATTAATACTTTTGGTAAAATAAACCAACTAGTAAAGTAAACCAAAGATAAAACAAAAATAATTAAAAATAAAACTTGCAATGAAACATTATCTATGTTATATTTGCGTAAAACATAAAAGATAATTAAATAATATTATATTATTAATTATTAGCCAATATTTATAAATACAATTTTTTTTTTTTAAATTTACAAATACAAACATTACGTAGATATTTAATGTATATTTGTATATTAAAAAAATAATAATAATTTTGTATTTTAATATTTTTTAATTAAATACCTAATTTACTAGATATTTAAATAAACCTGTATTTAAAAAGCGAATTAAGCAATTAAAATAGATCAAAGTTTCAATGAAATTTAATAATTTATTCATAAAAACTGCAAACAATTGTCTTTTGTTCTTGTTTTCTCTCTACTATACTGCAGCCATTTTTCAAAACGCCTTTTGGTAAAAAAAATCAATTTTGACATTATTACAAAATATGCTAGTTTAGATGTCTACAAACGTTATTTAATACATATTATATTATATATTCAAAAACGAAGAAAAGAAGCGATTTAAGTTTTAGAAGATATACATAATGAAACAAGTTGATTAATTAAAATTAAACATATATAAAGTAGAAAAATAATCCTGCTGTAAATGTAACTCCCAGCAAAAATAGAAAATATATTTTGATTAAAATTTAATTGCAGAATGTAAGTTCCTTTTTTTTTTTTTTTAGCCACACCTAAATTCCTAATTTCGCAAAAACGCTATATGAAATTTTTTCTGGGTAACACCCTGATATATATATATATATATATATATATATATATATATATATATATATATATATATATATATATATACACTATAGCATGTTTAGATAAGCATATGCTTACTAATTTTGCTTATCTTTATAGCATACAGTGTTTCAGAAGAAAGAAAGAAAAAATAACAAAAGAAAAGATTGCTTTCCCATCCTAAAGCTTGTAAACATCATCTTAAGAATAAATAATATTGTATTGAATAAACAATTTCTCAAAAAAATTTAAAGTAATGCATTAAGTTTAGTTTATTTATTATTAAATTAAAATCCTAATGCAGAATAAAAATGGGCTATGTCGATTCTGCAAAAAGTGGCAAACTAAGTCAATACCTATTATTCGGTACATCCCTAATATATATATATATATATATATATATATATATATATATATATATATATATATATATATATATATATATATATATATATATATATATATATATATATATATATATATAGTATAAAAATAATTTGCCATGTAGATCAAATTAAATTAGTGATCTACTTGCAAAACTTTTTAAATGAATCTTACTAAAATTAAAACTATTGCAACAGTGCATCAAAGAAACCATTCAGTGAGTGACATCCATACAGTGAGCTTTTGCTCAACAGAAATTAATAGTAACAACTATAAATATAATATATATCTAATATTTATCAATAAAATTTATTAGTAAAATCAAAACTTACCGACAAGCTATTCTGTATCCACTTATGATAATAGTTGGGTGTACTTTGTATTTTATTAAGTTGCTGGCATTTTTTAAAAGTTCTGCAGCAATAATGACCTAAATAAATATTTATGTTATTATGCAAATCATTAAATTATGCAAACAATCTTAATTTTATATTAATAGAAATGATGAATAAAAAAAGTTAAACAAAATAATAAACGTATACCAAGAAAAACTAAGTTTTTGGATTTACTCTAAGCTTGCTGTCTCCATGTTAGCCACTTGCTTCAAGTCTATAAAATATACGCTGCAATCTACAGACTTTATATCGCTGCAATCCACAAACTTTATAATTTATTCAAGCGAATTTAATTTCAAAGAGAATTAATATATGATGTCATTGTAGGATTTTTTTTTTTGAAACAATTTTTTTTTTTGAATAATATATTATTTGTTTTTGTTTTATTTGTTTTAAAAATAGGTGTTTTATCATGGAAGCTTTTTGTAGGAAGCTAATGAATTTTTTGATGGGACGGAACAAACTTAATAAAGTTAGAATTTTTATGATACACTTGTAAATATAATAAATAAAAATCATGTTGACCACTTTATTATGTACTCTGAATATTTTTTCTTTTTATGTACAATGTGAACTTTTTTACTAGTTTATATAATCTGTTTATCCCTATGACTTTTTTTGTCTCTAATCGAAATGACATTTTGCAGTAATTCAAGACAGATGGCAATTAAAATTGTCAATGTGTAACAACGCATCTTAAAAAATATTTAATTTAATATTTCCTAATTTAAGCCGTATTAGGAAAGTATTTTACATTACAATCTGTCTCTTAAAATTACAAATTAAAATAATACCAAAATTGACAATAAAAAGATTTTCATTAAATGATTTCAATTTTAAAATTGACTTGATAAGCTACCTTTTGACTTGATAAGCTACCTTTTTTGCAATCTTGACCAATAATTGTTCATATTTTAAAAATAAAATAGGCAATACATGTTTTTACAGAATAAATTTCACTAAATATATTCTTGAATGATTAAATAAGAATTTCGAGAATATTTCTACTAGATGAAAAGTTTAGCAAATAAATGCTGTTCATTAAGAACTATATTGTGTAATTAATTGTGTAAATCTTGAATAATCCTTCAAAAAAAAAAAAAAAAACTTCTTTAAATTTAGTTATAAAATAAAACAGCGTAATTTTAGCATATTCTTTTTATTCATTAAATGAGTTTTGTTTTGGACTTAAATGTTTTAGTTACTAGTTTCTTGTTGTTTAATAAAGAGGGTTAAAAATTTATTAAATAAAAAAGTACATTTGTTTAGCTTTCTATTGATATATAGATTGTTATGCTTTTAAAGAGATTTACTATTCAAATTTTACTATTCAATTGTTAATGTTATGCCATTCAAATTTTATTCAAAAAAATGTTTGGTCACTACAAAAAGATTTTTGTTCGGCTGGTAGCGAATGAGTTAATGTGATTCTTCGTTTTTATATTTATGTTATAACTATTTTTTGTATATTTTAGTTCAAATATTTGTCTTGACTTTAATTGAGTTTAATTTGTACGTTTATTTGTAAAATAATTTGTTTAGTTCTAATTTTCTACTTAGTTCAGTTTATATGTTTTATTTAAGTCACTTTTTATTCAGTTTATACTTTAAATTAATTTATACGCTTTAGTAAAATTATTTTTTTAGTATCAAGTTTATATTTAGTTTAAACCAATACGTTTTACTGCAAATATTTGTTATATATTAAATTTTTATTTTTATAAATTTTTGAAATTTAATTTTTAAAATCACAAATTTTTTGGGGGGATTTAATAAAAATGTATACAATTGATATAATTTGGTGATTGTGGCAAAAAAATTATACGATATCTTAAAAGAAAAAATTTATAGAATGACATCATATACCAAAACTCTTATAAAAAAACACGCATGGGACCTCAGGAGTATTGCCACTAAATTCAAAAGATGATTTTAGAGAAAAAAACCCTTTACAAATAATTCTTTTATTGTCATTCTATCTTTGGGAGAGTGACTAAGCCAACTACAAACGAGGAGGCTAATTAATTGTGGTTATAACCTCTCAACTCTATAACTCCGAAATACTAAGATGCAGATGTGGTTCCAAGAATGAGCCATAATATTATAGTAGTAGTTCATTTGATAATATATTGTTTAAACAATTTATGCTAGATATCTCAAAACACAACAAATCGTGAATAATACAACTGCTAAAACATTTCAACAGAATACTCTAGAACTTTATTTTGCCTAGTTAGCATATTTTTTGAACCAATAGAATTAGTTTGTTCGTAAATTTGGCGGGTTTTAACGTTAATGAATATTCACAAATATTTTATTCTTCCACAAGATGCTTCAAGTAAATTTAGTTCCATGTATGTCCATAAAACAAAAATTAATATGTATTAATTTTTAAGTCCCGCCATAATATATATTGAATGTTATAATATGGGAATATAAATAATGAAGATCACCTCAGTACCAAAAGAAAAAAAACATTTTTGAAAGCAGAGAAAAAATGTGTATATACATATTTTTTAATATTTACAAAGTAAATTAATAAAAGTACATTATTATAGGTTAAAAATTATCTAATATTTTGGAAGAAAAACTTATAACAAAAGAAATCAAAATACATGTGGTCTAGAAGATTATTTAAAAAAAGTTACACAAATAAAATACTATTTTGTTTTTAATTTTTTTACAAACACATTTTAGAACTTTGAAATATAATAAATATGAATATGATTTGGAAAATATATGTAAAAAAATAATATTCGGTGTTTTAAACAAACAAACAAAAAAATCTATGATGTCATGAACTAAAACTCCTATGAATTAAACGCACTTGAATAAATTATCAAGTCTGTATAATGCGCCTGGAAAATCGCGTTTATTTTCAAGACTCCAAATAACGCAGAAAATGGAGAAGACAAGCTTTGACTAAAACAACAAGATTTGCTTTTCTTGGTATACATTTATTAATTAATTTTAATCAAAAAAAATTTGCTCAGATGTTTTTTTTTTAAACATTTTCTTTAATATGAACACATGTCTCGTGACTTGGTGGTCCCTTTAAGGACTTTTAAGGAGGATTTTTTTTTTTAAGGATATTTAAGGTTTTTAAGAAGAAGTGGGAACCCTGTATAAAACTATCAAAAGGAATAAATACTACAAAAGGAATAAAGAGATTTATCTACTATTTAAAAACTAAATTTCCTATAAAAATTATATAACTTACAACAGAAGTTGTCCCATCGCCTACTTCTTGGTCTTGTAAATATGCAAGTTCACAAAGTATTTTTGCAGCAGGATGCTCCACATCTAAGAGTTTCAAAATAGTTGCACCATCATTTGTTATAGTAACATCCTAAAAACAAAATTTTTTTAAATAATTTTTGTATTCAGGTGTTTGCTGAATTTTTAGATGTTTGAATTTTGACACTTACAAGCATTAAGCAAATTTCAAACTTTTGTATGTTTATGATTATGTCTAATGAGATTAATTTGAAAAGAATTGTAGTAATTGGAGCTTGGAAACAAAGAACCCTAATTTTTAGGCCCACCCAGCCCTTAATGTGGGAGGAACAAGATTATTTTCTCTAATATTTATATCTAAATTTATATTCATTAACAAATTTCATATTTCATGCAATCTCTTATTTTTTGAAAATAATGACCACATAAAGTTTTGACCCCCTCAATTTGAAGGGGCTTTGCAGGGTCAAAAAAACTAAACACCGAGACTAAACAATGAAATTTGAAACTAATTGATGAATATAAATTTAGATAAAAATAGTAAAGAAAATATTTTATAAATTCATTGCTCCAACAATCCAGGCTGAGAAGGCCCAAAAAAAAAAAAAAAAGGTTTTTTGTTCTCAAGCACCAATCACTGCAATTCTTAGCAAAACATTCTTATTTGAAATAAGCATGAAAATACAAAAGTTTGAAGATTTTAAAATGCCTGTATATGTCACAACTCAAATATCTAAAAATCCTGTGTAAATCTTTGATAATGTATCCAGTGTACAAGTTTAATATTGTATACTTGTAGAATAGAGTTTTAAATAAAAGCATTTTTGAGGCCCTATAACCTAATGCCAGTAAATACATTTACAATAAAGAAAATCAACTTTAGTGGTTCGTTTGTGCATTAAAAAAAATCCTTGTAGATTATAAATTCTTGTAAACTGAGACTTTAAAAAGTTCTTGTACATATTGTATAGACATAGTAGAAGGGTTTTCTCTTGGAACGGTTGTTCAGAAATGAATGATTTGCCTACTTAATACTAGTTGGCACTATATGTGTTTATGATTTTGTAATTACTTGATATAATTTTTATACAATATAGAGTAATATACAATATAATATAATATATACAATATATATTTTATACTCTATATTGTATAAAAATTATATCAAGTAATTACAAAATCATAAACACATATAGTGTTTATGATTTTGTAAGCTTTCTTTGGTGCTCTTAAATTTTTTACACCAATAAAAGTTAGTGTTCTATGTAATAGCCATAATGTTAAACTATTCCTTTATTAGGGCAGAAAAAGCTCCTTAGCCATGGTCAGACAATTTATCCTTAGCCATGGTTATTTTACCTTAACCTCTTATAGCCCACTTTATTTTTTGTGTAAAAAATATACTTTTTTGAATTTTAGTCACTTATCATCTAAATATAACAATGAAATTTCAAAACACAAATTTTTTATATTTTTGGGGCCAATTTAAATCTTATTTGGATTTTACATCTTATTAAAAGAAGTTTACTCGAAATTTAGGATTTATGGAAAGTATTAAAACAGATGGTTGTTGGCATAGAAAAATGAGACAAACATTACACTTGGAACACTTTACCTTAGGGAAACCATTAAACCAGGATATCTACTTCTCCCTTTCTTTTTTGTATACTCAGGCCAATGTTCATACTCATCATTTCTAATGAGTTTGTTTAGAATTGGAATGCAGGGCGATTTCTTCTTTTCATTATAGGTCAGATAAACTGATATTAAAGGTCCTCCTTTTCTAATTAACCTTTTTCCTTGCGTAATCAATGATTTGGCTATTGACAATTTTGAAGATTTAAAAGACATTAATTTTTTTTATTGTTTGCGAAATCTTTTCTAAACAATATACATGCTTGGAATCTGAAAAATCAAGAAAATGCCAGATTAGCCGATGATACCACTTTTTTGCACAAACAAGAATTCAATAGTTGCTTAATAGTCCATCTAAGAGATCAACACCTCCCATGCATTTTTTATGTGACAATTGCAGATGGACAATAAACCAAAAGTTCCTTTCCTTTAGTTGTTGGAACTACCGATTCATTGGTAGTAAGGATATTAACAGATCTATTATTAAACCATTTATTGGCTTGAAACTTAACCCCATCATTTTGGCAAGTTTTTATTTCAACTGAGCCTTTCCCTTTCGTTTTCATATCTTTCCTCTGATACTGCAGGATTCAAAATTGAACTTAGAGGATTTTTGACCATAAAATTTAAAAATATTTATCTAAATAAGTATAAAATACTACCTACAATAATGTTGGATTTTAAAGCATCTGATTGTTGGTTTCATAATTGGAAAGAAAAGTCAGTTAAATTTTGTCAAATCTTGTTCAATTTTAATATAAACAAATAACATGTATCTGTTTATATTTAATTTATTTAGTTTTTTAAATGTGTAATTAAAATTCAATTATTCTGTTCCTATTTTTAGGAACGGCATCAGCTTTAAAATAATCTCAGGCGAAAGTGCTGCCGTGACGAATAATATGACTGCTTCGCGAAATGAAACTATACTTCCAACATTGCTTTTGAATTACAAACTTGAAAACTTTTTCAATGCCTATGAGTTAGGATTATTTTACCAGTTTCTACCAAACAAAACATACCATTTATTACAAGAAAAATGTTTTGGGGGATAAAATAGTAAAGTCAGACTAATAGGCATAGCAGCAGGGAGTGAAACAGGAGAAAAATTACCTATGTTTGTTATTGGAAAATCTAAAAACCCACGGTGTTTTAAGCACATGAAACAACTTCCTTGCACATATAAAAATCAGCTAAAAAGTTGGATGACCGGAGACCTTTTTACAGAATGGGTAATGAAGGAAAGTAGAACACCTGGTGGATAACTGTTCTGCCCACCCACACATTGAAGGGCTAAGCAACATCAACCTAATATTTCCCCCCCCCCCCTTACACCACATCTGTCCTTCAGCTCATGGATCAAGGTGTAATACGAAGTCTTAAAGCTCATCGTCACAAAATTGTGCGTTTGTGTATCAAGGCTGTCGATAATAACGAACCCATGCCAAAAATTTCTATACTTCAAGCAATGAAAGATCTTGTTTCTTCGTGGAATGCTGTGTCGAAGGAGACTGTCATCAACTGCTTTAAAAAAGCTGGTATCAGCAAAACAAACAAGAGTATTGAAGAAGCTGATGGTGATCATCCTTTTATATTTTTGACAAAAGAGCCTAACAGTTTGCGAGAGTTAGATCCTTGTGCCGTCTTTTCTGCCGTAAATTTATTAAATAATCATGACTTATATAACAATAACTGATTATTGAGCACATTTCTTCAAATTGTCAATTTAGACAATTTTGACAGTCTAGTTTTAACACCATTTTTTAAAAATCTAAAAAAGTAATGATTTGAGTAAGTCTTAGTGAAAAAAAAATGGGTAAAAAAAATCAAAAGTCAAATAAAGTTGATATGTTAAGTAAAATAAAAAACTGTTGGTTTTCTGAAAACAAAGTAAAAGTAATTGCAAAAAGTTTTTTTAATGTTCAATGTTTATGGTTCTACACGTGTGTGTTTAGGACAGATTTCCATGATGCCATTTTCTTATTTAAATTACACTGAAGAGTAGAAGCAATTTATTCAACAGAAATTTTTTTTCTGGCCATTACTTGTTTTGCAGATTAGGACTGAGTAATTTTGTGACACTACCACTAGAAATATTACCATCCAGGGTTTAAAAGGTTTTTCTTCAGTTAAATATTTAATATCCTTCTTTAATCTCATAGTCCCAAATTGCCTGTGGTCAACATACCAAAAAATGCTTTCAAATCTTAATTCAAATTTTATTTTATAAGGAAATGAATGCAGATAACTTTAGTTTAATATTCAACCAATCAAAATTTACTTACACTAAAGGCTATACTTAGAATCCTTATTTATATATATATAGAATCCTTATATATATATATATATATATATATATATATATATATATATATATATATATATATATATATATATATATATATATATATATATATATATATAATTATTTATATATATAAAATCCTTATATATAATAATATATAAATAATATATAATATATAATAATATAAGTAATATATATAAAATCCTTATTTATATATATAGAATCCTTATTTATATATAAAGAAGGTTTATTAATTCTTCAATTTTCGTTAATTCATGCTTTGCGTGTTTGTAAATAAGGTCGGTTTTGATACTTTGATTTCTAGAAATATTTAATTTTTCTCCAGCTCAAAGAATTACTAAATTGTTTAACGTCATATTTAATTTGATTTTATATATATTTTTTATTAACTTTGCATTGAACAGGTTTTTAAATTTATTTTAAACCTTTGTTGCTTTAAAGCAACATTGCGCAGTAAAAAATAAAAACAAAAATGTTAAAAATTAAAAAATTATTTGCTAATATCTCATCAAAAATTTGTTTCGGAAAGTTTAATTAATTTTTAACTTAATTTCTAATGTTTATCTATGATATGAACACAACTTGTCGCGGCACTTTGAAATCCTATTAACAAAATGCTGATGAGAAAATCTTTTAAAACACCAAAAACAAATATATCAGAAATTAAAATGTGAAAGGTTTTTTAATGATTAGTCTAGGAAAAACAATAGATTAAAACAATAATATGTTAAAACTGATAAATAAATGACAAATATAAAACTTACACCAATATCATCTACTAACATTTTATCAAGACCAACAGGACCAAGTGAAGACTTCACTATGTTTGCAATTGAACATGCTGCCATGACTGAATTAATAATAAAAAAAGTAATCAGAAAAATAAGTAAAATAACAAGCAATATACAAAATATGATACTCTGCTTCTCAGACCATCTGAGATTTTAGTTACAAAATATTTGTTTAACATTTAAAATGTTCTAGTGTATAAACAAAAAAGTTATTTGAATCAGTTTTTTTTTATAAGGGGCAAATTAGCACAAAACTTCTTAAACAATTTTTTTTTAAAACACTGATTCATTCAAAACATAAAAAAGCATATAACTATTTTTTTATGAACTTTAACACTTTTATGTTTTGCTTAATTAAATTTTATATATAACAGTAATTGAACCTGTCAATTCGAAAAGGACACAAGTCCATTTATTAAAACTTTCCAAAATCAACAAAAATATGATTTTTATTAAAATAATGTCTATGCTGCTGGAGAAATTAAACATTTTTTAATTAAACAGTTAAAGACTTAGACTAAAAAAGTTTTAACAAAATTTATGTTGTCTATAATCTAAAGTTTAATCTAAAGTGTATTTTATAAACTATATCAGGTTTGGACAGGAATGACGTGCAATTTAAAAAATTGTTACGTTATGAATAACTTTGATTCACTGATCTTTATGAAGTTTTTATTTTATGGGAAAGCTTTACATAAAAAATAAATAATTAAGATTGTTTAAAATAAAGCATTTTGTGTTATTTGCTAAACAAAATAGCAATTCCGACTTCTATAGTAAAACTTCTTGGTATTGCACGTGCATGTACAAAATATTTAATTAACCTTATGTTCATACTAAACCTCAAAGAACGTTTCATAAATTTGTCAAAAAAGAAATTTTTAACTTATGCGTAATATTTTTTGGATAAAAATATTACGCATAAGTAATATAATATAATAAAGTAACAACTCCAACTGGAGTTGGAGTTGTTACTTTATTTTTACGACTCAACTAAATTAAATATTTGAAACTATTTTTCCATGTCTTCCTAAAATTCTTTTGAAAGATAATTTTTCAAGTTATTTTAAATTATGAATAAGTTAAATTAAATCTTCCTTTGCAATGTAATGATTTAATTGTTTATTTTATTTGTTTCTATTTAACAAGAAATTGTTTAAAACTGTTTTTTCTAACTTAACTAATTAATCAGAGCATACAGTGATCGAAAATTACTATTTTAAATAGATTACGGTATTTTTTTAAAAAAATCATTAGTAGTAATTTGTAAATACATTTTACGTAACTTTAAAAAACGTTTAAAAAGATATTTATTTTGTTTATGATATGTAAATGTTTAAAAGTTATTTAGATATGTAAATATTTAAGTTATTTGTTTTAAACTTGATTAAAAACAAAACAAAAAGTATTTTGAGTTTCGAGTTTAATTTTTCAAGTTTTATTTTAATGCTTATAGATTTTTATTCAAAAGGAATTGTTTTCATTTTTCATTATTTTTTTAAATTCTTAGTTTAAGTTTAGCTACCGTTTTTTTTTTTTTCAGTGCATTTCTAAAATGTTTAAAAATCATCTAAACACCATGGTCAAGTTGTCAAAAAATAAAATCATTTTCGTGGTCAACAGCGTTCGATCGCAGGCTATTCCTGCCCGAGCCTGCTACATAGTAGTTTATAACATTTTATGTATCTTCCAATTTTAAACATGAAACTATATTATTAGATGAATTATATAGTTGATTTAAATATATAATAGAATATGAACAATAAAGTGTATAGCATGTATTTTAATATTAAAAAATATATAGGCATATTTATATATGAATATAAATATGATTAATATTTCAAATTATGTCAACTTCCGAAAATTATAGATTCAAAATTTGGATATTGTAAAATAAATTTGAGCTGAATATAAAACTAATACTCAGTTATTTTGAAAATATACAGAGTTTTCCTGATTTTAAGGATTTTCAGAAAAACTCCCCGAACTTTAAAAAATTCTCCCAGTTTTTCTTAAGTGCTATGACCCATGCAGAACACTTTAAACTGGAACTTTTCTTATCTTAAACTATTTTCTTATCTCTTATAAGCAAGAACAATTGTTTTACTTTGTTAAAGTCAAACATGTATTTAGTCGCGTCATTTTCCTTGGTCTCTAATTCAAGTTAACAGAAATTTACTGTAAATTATTAAACTTAATACTGCTAATAATATTTTAAACTACTTTGTGACACGTCTGTCTTTATGTAAAGGTCCAATCACATAATCAAAAACTTAAGTGTTTTTAAACACTAAAGTTTTGTTTTCAGTGTTTCAAGATGCTTTGGAGCTTACACTTAGCTGCTAAATGCAATAGTTTTAATAAAATACTTAAACTATTCTTAAAAAAAAAACATAAACATATTGATTCTAAAGCAACTTTAGCAAAATATAGAATAGAAAAAGCTTAAAAACAAAGGGATCCAAAAATGGTTCAATTAGGTGCAACAAAGTTCAAAATTAATAAATGGGCTAGAGGGAAGGTGAACACCTATAAGGCAACCCAGGGTTATTGTATATAAAATTTTTGAGGTTAAAACTTCATCGGACACTGTTTTAAGGATACGCTTATGGCAAGTAAACAAATTACATGGTTGATAGGTCTAATAGAAAAAGAAATGGTTGATAGGTCTTTACCTTCATGTTCATGTACTGATTATTTAGTTTTAAAACAATGTTTTATATTTTATTTACGATTACCTGCATTTTTAAAAATTTATTGCATTATACTTTAAAATTATTTGCCAGACTGTTAAAAAATAAGACTTTAACAATTATTTACATGGAGATTTTTTTTGTTTGTAGACTATAAGCACAATTTTAAGATAAGAATAAAATGTTACAGACTGATATATAAAATAAAAATGTCTTTGAATTTTTTTGTTCATGAATTAATAAGATGTGTCACAGAAAATAAAACTTATATATAGCAGAATTGGAAAAAATATCCAGATTAATTTTATCTTATGCGAAAAAATGTAAACATAAACAGAGCATCTTTTAAACAACCCTAAACCACTAATCTGACAATAAAAAAAGCTTTTAACTGCTTTTGGTTTTAACAAATTAATGTTAAAACTAATCAAAATTAATAGATTTTCAGTTGAATTAATTTTTTATTCTTTGTTTTAAAGATATTTAATTTTTTACAATAATATTTAATCTACTTTAGTTTGTGTGTGAAATATACTCGATGGGTAAACGCCTTAAATACTGTAAAAACTTATTTAGAAAGTGCAAAAATCGGCAAACCCCAGCTTTTAGCAAAATTGCTTTATAAACCTTTCATTTAAGTAGCATTTTTAAACAAAACTTTTTTCACATCAGTTAATGTACATATTATATAATAATATTAAATCGACTTCTGCAAAGCCTTTGGGACACAAAAACTTGTAGTAACAAATAAAAAGTTGGAAAAATTATCTCAAACCATTTTGTTCTCTAATATCTTTTCCAGAAGTTCTTTCGCCACCCAAAACTAACGATGCCATTGTAGCTTCTAGTAATGCTCAAAGGAAACAGTTGAATGATCCGTAAGTAAAGTTCTAGAACATGCGCCGGCTGAAAATAAATTTCGCGCAATTTGTCTATTTTACATAACGTCGCATTTAAATATTTTTAGCTCTTCACTTTAATAATAAGTAATAATTTAATAAGTGATAATTATATATAGTAATAATTATATAAATAATAATAATAAAGAAGTAAATAAACTTAAACAATATAAAGTATCGAGCTATTTATATGGAATCTGTAATTATACACCAAAACATATACAAGGCAAATATGAAGATAACAATCCGTAAAAAGGCTATACTTTTTGAGAAAAAATAAATATACTTTCTGTACTTTCATCATATGCTTCATATATTTTCTTCATATATTTCATATATTTTTTCCATATACTTATAACTATTTTAATACTAGTAGCCCCACGTTTTTCTATATACGTATTAATATATGACACTAACTGTTAAAGCTTACAGTTGTAATGTAAATTGCTTAAAAAATGTAAATTGTACAATGTAAATTGCTTAAAAAAGTTTAAATCTTTTTCACCCAGTGTAATCTCTTCTACTAGACCATGGGAAAGATTCGCTATAGATTTTGTTGGCCTTCTTCGCTCTAAAACAGCGAACAAATACCTTTTAGTCATAATTGACGAGTATTCCAGATACCCATTTGCATTTTCTTGCTCCCCAATCACCTCTAATATAGTAATAAAACATCTTTTAGAAACATTTTCTCATTTTTGCACCCCTGCCTGCATTCAATCTGATCGTGGTAGTCAGTTTGAAAGAAGAAAAATATGAAACTTTCTTATAGGCAACGGTGTCAGCAAGACACGAACAACACCATATCGACCACGAGGAAACGGGCAGTGTGAAAGACTAAACTTTACAATCTTAAAAACAATAAACTTAGCTTTACGAAGTTTTGAACTAGAAAAACCTGACTGGGAACTGGTACTTCCTGCAGCTCTATCCTCTATTCTGTCCCTACTAAGCACTTCAACAAATTCTAGTCCACACATCAGATTAATGGGTTTTAAACGCTCAACTATTACTGGCGTTGATCTACCTGACTTCCTAGTAGAATCAGGTAGTACTGTCCTACATAAAAATCGCCTTCGATTGAAAGGAGATTCATTGGTAGAACCAGTCACTTAGCTTGAAACTGTATCACCACACTACGCGCGTTAGAATATATGAATGGCAGAATTGACACTGTATCAACACGATTTCTAGCACCATGTGCCACTCCCCACATTAAAGAAATAATCCAACCACCCGAAACCTTTGAGACATCAATTTCACCCAAAGAAGACAGCTACAAACCCTAGCAATAACTTTGAAACCGATGAAAGTAACCTGATATGACCAACTGATTGCCATCTTCCGTCTGCCACTAATGATTTACCTTCTCCAAATAAAAAGACTACTTGTACCAATATTACACCATCGATAACTCAATATCCTGACGTCTATATATCCTATAGTTAATCTAAAAAGAGTTGATATTTTTAGATTAACTATAGATGAAGGGTTACCAGCCGGCATATAATGCTAAAAAGACGTCCTTTAAAACGTTTAAAAGACGTTCAGAACGTCAAAAGAGATCTTTTTAGGACCAAATACCGACTGGGTTTACACGCATTACCATCATAAACTGTACTGTTTCATCTGCTAACTTATCAAATTAAATATGGAATATAAGCGTATAATCAAAAGAAATTACTTATTAAAACTCCTATTAGCCTTTTTCAAACCGCGTCAGACCTGGTAACTGAGGGACATTTTTTTAAAGCGCAATATTTGTTTAAACAACTATGTAAACAATATCAACATATTTCATCATAATAACTTTCTTTTATAATGGAAAAGCATGCAAAATTGATCAATTCACATTAGAAGAAGCTACAACGTGGTTAAAAAAACTGCAACTTCCCACTTCAGGCACAAAGGATATACTGCTAAATCGAATTAAAAAGTTTAATAGATATACGAATTCGCTAAACAAAATCAAGACCAGGGCTGATAGAAATTTTAAACTTAAATGCAGTTTAGATCCTTCGATAATACCACCGAATTCTGCAAAATGGGAAATAGAATACTCTAAAATGCCATTTGTTGACCAAAAGATATTTTAAAAATACTTATTGCATAAAAACGAGGGAAGTATTGGCCAACAAGAAAAAGCTGCACGTATGTTTCAAAGCAGAAAAATAGTAAACGTGAAAGTTTTTCAAGCTGACTTGAGTAACAGTTTTGTAAAAGCAATGGTAAAAAAATCCTATGAACAAAATGCCAGACCTGCTGTTATTTTATTTGTTAATGGTGTACCCTTCAAATCACATTGCCCTTGTCCAGTTGGTTCAAGTGGTTTATGTTGCCACGTATTATGTTTATTTTTGTTTTTACAACATTATGTCGCTATGACGTTCACAAAAAAATAAATGCTTGAGCTTACTTGTACACAAACTCTTCAAAAATGGCGCAAAAGAATTGCAAAAGGTTCTATCCCTATGATGCCTCTTAAAGAGATTAAAGTAAAATCAGCAAAGATAAAAAAAAACATGGCACTATTACATGCTCTGCTGCTGACCCTCATGCTTCGTATTTTTAACGTGATGTTTCTAACATATCTCGTGAACTAAAAGAAAAGCCCAAAAAGGAGAAGCCTATTACTGAACATTTTTATTCAGTTCTTTCTAAATATGATAGTGGTAAAAAATCTTCTTTAGGAGAGCATTTAACTTTTATGTTTGAAAAAAAAAGCAATTTGCCTTGCTGATCATGATTATACAAAAACACATTTGTTTGATGAAACAATATTATCTGATGACACAATTAAGTTACAGAGAATTAATACAATTATAACAAATTTCGACAATTATTCTGCTTTTAATGTACAAATTAGTATTGCAAGCTCTAAAGAAATTTTGGCACAAGATATTTTACCTATTGAAGTAATAAAGTCCACAAATGCTGAAAAAGACAATAATGCACCTAATATTAGAAATAAAGAATATAAAGAAACAATTAAAAATTAACCCAAAAGCAAAAGTTCATATAGACATAAGATATTTAAACTCACCAAAACCGCTAGGAGCTAATTATATAGATGTTACACAAAATACTGAAGAGTGGGAACAGTTATGTAAATTTAAACTCGATTGCCTTTTTTACTTGGACTTCAGGGTAAAAACAAATTGAATTGAATGCTGGAGCACTGTAAAAACTGGTAAAAAGGAAGATGACTTTTAGCCATTAAAAATATTAAAAGAGGAATAGAGTTTGAAAAAACTGCTATATCTTATTTTGAAAGAGATTCCCAATCAAAAACAACTAAATGTGGTTTTTTTACACACCCTACAAAAATCCGCTATGGAGCGAGCCCAGATGCTCTTGCTGCTGGTGGCTTGCTTTTTGGAGGTTAAAACTAAGGCAGAGAACTGTGACGGACCCCTTAGTAGTAAGAGATTGCCGGTTCTGGGCCATTTTTATTTTTAACCATATTTTCAACCATATATTTTAAAAAATATAGGGTTTATTTCTAACCATGATGTGAATAATTATTTATATAAGAAATAATTTTTCAAATTTATATAAATTTGAAAAAATTGAATTTTTTTTAAATAAGTATTAATTTTTTATTTCTTGTCGGAAAATGTCACGTGATTTTCTTGCTGTGATGTCACATGACTTTTTCTAATAATAAATATTATCTGGTGTTTTTAACTTTTCTTCTTCTAATCTTTCCTTTTCTAACTTTTCAAATTGTAATTTAGATTGTTTTTGCAAATAACGAGCTAAACTTAATCTTCTTTTATAACTCATAAATTTAATATCTACATCTTTACTTGCACAATCCATTTCTTATAATTTATGTAAAGAAATTTATTTTCAATTTTTTTTCTTGCTATCGCAGATTGCTCTTGTGTGCTAATTGAAAAGTATTAATATGCCAATTCCATTATAGCAATATCAATTAAATTATCAGGTCCTCTTAAATTTAATTCCTCATGGAAATATTCAAGGATATGTAAATGTCTATTTTTTACAGCATTAATAAACGATTCATCATTTACTTTATAATCTAACGATATTAAATATTTAATTACATCTAAATGTCCATCCATTATAGCAATATTGATTAAATTTTCAAGTCCTCTTAAATTTAATGAATGGAAATATTCAAGGATATGTAAATGTCCATTCATAGTAGCACAAATAAAAGATAAATCAGTTACTTTATAATTTAATGATATTAAATATTTAACACTATCTAAATGTCCATAATAAGCAGCATAATCAATAGAGCATTCTGTTCCTGTTTCTCCTAATTGAACTAATAATTTAATTAGATCATTTCTACCTATTTTTGCAGCAAAGTCAATTTTATTCCAATTATCTTTATAACCTTCTTTTTTTAATATTTCAGTAATATAATTTATTTGAGTTGAAGGATTAATAATGTTTTTTATTGAAAAATTATTATTCTTAATATTATTTTCCATTTTTTTTATATATACAAGAAAATTATTTAAATCATTTTTTTTGTTTTAATGCGCATGCGCTTAATTTCTTAATGAAATCTAGATCTCTTCGAGTTCTAAGCGTAGTAGTGCTTATGCGTAGTAGAAGCATTGTCCTATCAGTGCAGCATAGCTCCCAGATTGACCAACTTGTGCATCACCAGAGTTGAGTGTCACTACCATTCTTCTACCTCTACCAACGCTAGGCATACTTTCAGATGAATTAAAGTTTCTATAAAATGAAATTGTAGTTGTTGGACCAATTGAAGTACCAGATTGATACAGTAGTCCTGATGCTGTGTTGCTGAATGAATTCAAGTTGCTGCTATTCCATGAAGACAAGTAAAAATCTTCTAAACCTGATGAAGCGTAGATACATCGACTGTTAACATCATATCCAGAAAATGTAGTATATCCATTATTATTATAAGGTGTCCAAGGTTGAATAACTGAGTTGGTATTTGTAGGGGATCCATATCCATCATAGATGCGAACTCTAGATTCCCACCAGTCTCCAGATCCTCCAATGATA